ATATATTTTGTAATGGCTGATTTCATGGGCTGATTTTCCTAGACATTACTTTCCTTGTGTATTTTAGAAGTTTGATTTGCAATTATCATGGTTGAGCGCCTTCAGTTTTCTCTCCATCTGTTTACTTATCCCTGTTATTGGTATCACACTTTCTAATTCAGTCCACCCCATTATTTCCAGAGCTCTGGGATCAGAAATGGATATGTATCTGTTGTTTGTTTTACTTCCCAATACTGGGCTTTGAACATAAGGTGTTGCTCTTGTAACTACTTCAGCTATATTCCTCAATCCTTTTACATTTAGCTTTTTTCTTAGATAGTATTTCATACTTTATCCCCACCTGTCCCCAAGCAGAGATCCTCTTCCCTCACTTCTCAAGAAGGAGGAAGCACAGGCATACCTATCACCTTGCTGGCCTGTTTGTGAGATGGGGTCATTAAGTTTTTCTCTGCTTCTCCCAGAGTCATAATCCTCTTGCTTCCACTTCTTTAGAAGCTGTGATTATTTGTGTGCACTACCAAACCTGGTGGAATCTGTTTTCCGTAGGATTCTTTCACAAAGCTATTTTGTCCCATTTGATCTCTAACTCAGACAGAGGCTATTGGCTGTATTGCCATTCATGAGTCATCCTCCTATCTCTTTAAGCATGTGACTCAAAAAACTATTCCAGGCAGTACCTAGCAACTAAAATGCTTGTGCTACAGATATTGTCATTTAAAAAATACATGGGCTTCCTTTCCAGTCTCTAGTGGAAAACTTGACTCAAATCTGCAGCTTCATGTGAGATAGATTTAATTCACATTAACCTTAAAAATGTGTTCTTTCTTGCTAACCTCTATATCTAAACCCAGCCAGACACCTAGCCTCACTCAGCTCAACATTTTATACTGTACATTATTTCTGTTCTTCAGAAGAAACTTTTGTATCTTAATAAATCAATTGCTTCTCTAATTTTCTTTTTTGATATGTGACAATCATTTCTGTGTTTTTATCAGTAAACAGAGGGTTCAAATTGTGAACTTAAAATCTCAACTCAATATGAATTCCCTTTTTATTCATTCTTAAAGATGTTAGAGTGGCATATTGTGTGATGGAAGTGTAATTGTTAAGTAGTTTCCAGAATGCCAGATAATGCCTTGTTTCTAATTTTTGTTTTTAAAAACACAAGGCTTCATTGAATATCTTTGTGCATATATAACTTGCCTTTATTCTTCTTTCCATGAATTTCTAGAAGAGGAAAAGCAGTGTCCAGTTTTCTTCTCCGTGCCTAGGAGGGAGCTATTTTCCTCATAACCTGGACATCATTTTGTAAATTAAACAAGATCTGTTTTTTTTTTCATTTTTCCAATCTAAACTATATATTTCTGAGTTAACTTTACACATGAGGTGAGTTTGAAATTTCTTCCCCGGGCCCCTATCAAAAATGTAAGTGCAATATTAGCTCTAGGATGTATGAGAGCAGTTTATGGTTAGAATACAGTTCTTTGCTAAAGGCAGATTCTTTGAGATTATGAGTTCTTAAATGTTCCTGGGTTATATAGTTTTTTTTTTTTTTTGGTTCTCAGGCTTTTCTCTATAGGGATTAAAAAATAACACTATTAATTCGTTGACACTCGAATATTAACATGTGGAAAATTATGTATAAAGAAAAGCCACTGTAATCAGTAAATGCTTATTTATTACCTTGGAAAGGTAATAAATAAAGCCAGCATTTGAAAGATATTTTAAAGCAAATATAAACTTTGATTTGAACATCATGAATAGTTTAAAGGTCTTTATTTTTGTAAACTTGAGCATTTAATTAAAGTATATGAAAGTATATAAAAAGGATTATGGTTATATACTTACTTTAATCTAGTGTTGGTGTTTGTGGTTTATTTCAGTGCCTTCAGTGTTTATCAAAATGTATTTTCAGTATGACTCTGTGCTTGTACTTTAGGACTCCTCCAAACTTTGATAGTTAAGTTATCTCATTTCACATTTCTCTCATCGAATGAGGCATCTTTTTAAGCACAATTCTGGTTTTATGCACAAAATTGTAGATAACTTGAGAACAATTTGATAAAGCACCAGATGTCTTATTCACAGCTTCATTAAAGGTATAATTCAAATCTCCCCCAAAACAAAAATGTATCTCTAAGAATCTGATTTTTCATGGATAATCAGCCACCTTTGTCATAGCTTAGATTGTGCTTAAATTGAGTAATATTTTTGAGATGTCTCCTATGAGTTCACTGTTATATATGAGATATAATTTGTAGCAACTGTAATTTTCTATTTTTTTCTGAATCATAATTTTAAATGACTTTGCTGCTTATTTTCTATGTACAGAAAATTTAATTAGTATGTGTTAACATTAGAGCTGTTAGAACTTAAATATAAGGAACTATTGTTATATGTGTGTGTGTGTGTGTGTGTGTGCGCGCGCACACGCACACGCACACGTGTGTGCCTTCACCAGTGCTTGAAATCAGGGTTTGGCACTCACTCAACTATTTTTCTCCTAGCTGGAACTCTACTACTTAAGCCATGACTCTAGTCTAAAATTTTGCTGTCTAATTGGAAATCATGTCTTTAGGATATTTCTGCCCAAGGCACCTCAAAGGTAGATTCTTCAGGTCTCAGCTTATGGCATTGAGGTGTGAGTTGCCTGTACCTGTTTATGAAGATTTTTTAAAATTTATTACTTATAGTCTATTTTAGTTATTCTTTTGTACCAGTCCTGGAGCTAGAATTCAGCTCCCTGACTTCTTACTTGTGGCTGATGACCTTAGATTTGAGCCACGCCTCCAGTTCAGGCTTTTCTCTGGCTAATTGGAGACAAGAGTCTCTTAGATTTGTCTTCCCAGGACTGAGAAGATCTTTTTAAAAAGAGGTTTTAACATATAATTGTATTAAAGTTGACACATAATTGCTTATATCTATGGGATACAATATATTTTGATGTATATGTGCAATGTACAATAATCAGAAAAGAGTATTTTTCATATTCACCATCTCAAATATTTATATCTTTGTATTGAAAAACATCAATATTTTGCTTACCAGCTATTTCAAAATGCACAGTATTGTTGTCAATATTGGTTACCTTACTAGGCTATAGAACATTAGAAGCTATTACATGTGTCTACTTTCACAGATGCCCACAAAAGAAACTCTACTTTTCTTTGCTTCTGGTAAACACTGTTCACAAAGGGTTTTATTGTTTAATTTTTCATATTGTAATTTCATATTGTAATTACAGGCTGTCTTCATGATTACATTGAACTATGGTGAATTGCAATAGTGTGCTCAACTAGTTTAAGCTAAGAATTTTCCACACCAATTTGTAATTTGTTTTAAAATACTTTTTCAGTTTCATATTCCTATTACTTGATGTATTTCAAGATTAATCTGATCAGACAAATGGCAAAAGCCTTTTAGTGGGCTTAATTACATGCAATGTGTTTTGAATTATGTTAATCTGAGTCAAATGACATCCAAAGTCACTTATTGACTAAAAGTGTATTTAGGTAGTCAATAATTTGTTTCTTTAATAATATCTTATATGCCCATCAAGATATATTGCAAAAATATAACTTTTAAGCCATTAATCATGTGTCCTTTTAGTGAATATTCTCTAAATTGAGAATTTTCATGTAATGATTGAAGTTGTCATATAATTGTGGGTGCAAAAGTGTCATAGAAGCATTCATATATGTATATATAGACTATCTAATATCTATTTTTAAATTAAATTATTACAAATTCCTGTGTTTAGAAAAAAATGCCTTTTTACATTCTTAGGTACACATGTACCATGAGGTTCCAGGGGTTAATGACAACTGTGGAGGCTTTTCCCATATTGTTTGGGGATAAGAAAATATGTGAATCATTAACAGCAAAGAGTTAAGCAATTCCAAACAATTTCAAATTAAGGAAATGATTCAAGAATTTAGCCAGAAATCTAAAGAAAAGTATTTCTGTGAGTTATTTGAATGATGACACTAACCAGGTCTTATAAAACAATACAATGCAACCCAATAGTTAATTATATTCTATTTTTTCTTACTATAGTCTATATTATATTTTCACCACATAATCTGGTAGAAAGAAAAATAAGTTTGTTTATTCCCGTCAAGAAGAACTCAATATACACAGGAAAACAAATACCTATAGTAACACAAAATGGAAAAGTTACAAGAAAATATCTTCTATCTATATTATTACATATTATGAAAAGTAATGGTGTATTCTCAGTGACTCAAAATAAATCAGATATTTGAATGGTTACTGAGCCTTCATCATAATGGAATCAAGCAGCAGCATAATAGAATTTAGAAATTGGTATTTGTTTTTTGTTAAAGCCTGTACAGCTCTGCTTTTTATATTTAATTTTTGTTTTTGATTTGTCATCTTCATTTACATTTTAGTATAGGCTTTATATGCAGAATTAAATGCTGCTGTGGTTAAGCAGACACATCTGGTTGATTTTTTTAAAAATAATTTTATTTTATTTTATTGTACAAAGGAGTTTCCATTAACAAATCAGTTTTTGAATACAGTGCCTCTTGATCAATGGCACCCTTTTTAACATTTTCACCCACCCTTCCCATCCCACAGTTTCCCTTACTTAATTTTTAGATTATGTATTGAATTTTTTTGCGGTCTGACAGAGCAATTTATGTATACAATGCAACTGTTTTTGACTGAAGTTCCAGACTGAATGCAAATTGGCTGGGTTCAAGACTCATCTCTGCTATGCTGGCTCTGTGAACTTACACAAGTTAACAACCTCTCTGTGCCTCATGAGTTCCGGGAGAAATCATTCATAGAAATCTGTGGGGCCCTTGATACTACTGAGTAGACATTTTCCATTTTCACCATTACAAGAAGAATGTGAGCAAATCTATCGAATATGTAAACACCTTTTTTCAAGATGCCATACAAATTGAAGAAGAACCAAAGGGGTCTACAATCTACATACCTAAAGAGAAGGTGCAGGCAAGGTTCTTGCTTACCTGTACGCTGACAGGAGAACTTGGTTTTGTGATCGCACACTCGTATGGTCCCATTGCAGCCCTTTTCATCACTACCATCTTCACAGTCTTTCTCTCCATCACAACGCCACAAATCAGGAATGCAGTTTCCATCAGGGTGGCACTGAAACTCATTGCCATTACAGCCAGCAGGAGAACGGATCTCTTCATTCGAAATGAAATAGGGAGAGGAAGAGCAAAACAGTGAACAAATTACTATCTTCTATGATGATAATCTTTCCACTCTTTTCTTTGTTCAGATACTATTATGATGCTAGAGAGAATATATGTTTTTGTGTTAGTTAATAGCTATGAAATTCTCCAGTATTTTCAAATGCATTTAGAAAACATTAGCAATTAGAAGAAATCATGTTTCTTGCCTTCCATTTAATTCCTGGATGTGCTAGGCAAATTAGGAAATAACAACTGAATTGCCACATCAATATTTTATTATGCCTTTAATTAGTGAGTTGAGAATGAGATCTGTGAAGGACTTTTCTTTAAGGTACATAAACAAAGTCTCACATCATACTTTTATTTGGTTGATCTATTTGGCATTTCTTTGGGTAATTTATTACAAATTAATAAGAAGTAATGAAAAATATTACTGTTGTCTGCTTAACAAAAAGTTTGAAGATTAATAAATACTTCATCAGAATGTATGATTTCAATTCTAGAATCTCAATAATTATACACAAGAATTTAATATTGCACTATACAGTTACATTAACTTGGTCAATGACACAAATAATAGACGTTATTGTCTCAAACTTGTTAACTAAATATATTGGAAAATTCTTCCAATAAGCTTCATTAAAAGTTAAAAATACAATGTTGGGAGATAATTGATAATACATATATATATATATATATACATATATGTGACAAAATGTGTTTCTGTGTGTTCATATACATGTTGTAGGTTTCATAGCACAACAATTGAGTGATGTGATTATAATAATTATTTTATAATTTATAATAATATCTAATATTATTAAGCATACTAAACATCATTTCCACATATTCTTGTCAAGTGTGTGTATTGTTTATGCCAAAATTGTTGTTTAACAGCACTGAGGTTTAAAGTATTAGCCTGACATTTGGCAGACAGGCATTCTATCACTGAGCCAAACCTTCAGCTTATTTTGCTTTAGCTGATTTTCAAATATACTCTATATTTTGGCCCAACCAGTCTAGACCACAAGCCTCTGATTTCTTCCTTCTGAGTAGGTAGGATTCCAGGTGTCTGTGACTCCACACAGCAGAATCAAAACTTTAATTTAACAAATTAATATTAGAAGTAACATTGCTATATCTAGGAATTTATGTACAATTTGTATATGAGAGCAATTCAAGTATAAATTGGGATAAATTTGAAGCAAGTGGATGTGAGTTGCCTATTGCTTAAAGGTTTGGTTTTCTAGAGATTTCTAGTGATGAATTAAGATTAGATTCACTGACTCAATTAAGTACATAGCTAATCAGACTGATGCAACCAAAGAAGCCATTTAGTGTTCTGAGAACTTTATTTGTTCAACTATAAAATAAAGATTAATGCATTATTGTGAAGATTAAATTTGATATTTATAAGTAGTTACTTTAATTATAAAATATTCTTGCTATTTTTATAGTAAAATGGTTTTGTTTTGGACTCAGACTTTCAAGGACTTTATAATTTTAAGACAAAATTCTGCTTCTCCAGATCCATAATTCTTTAATAATAAATAAGCAAGAAAAATGTTCCTACTAAACCAGGGAGAAAGAAGTAGAAAAAAGAATTCCAATTCACAACTATGGGACAATTCATTAAAAGCAACCATTACTGAGAACATCTACAATATCACATCTGATTTTCAGAGAAAGTGTTACAGTTGGGGTAGGTTTTAAGCCCATTCTCAAATCAAGCTACTTCTCTAGTCATTCAAAAACATTCTAACTCTGGATATATCATGGTCATTATTACACAAAATATTTGGTGAACACATACACTGATAATAGTCCTGAGCACAAACAGGAAATATATATGGATCATCATGTGATAATTTCCTTAACATATTTATTTTCGTAACTGAAAATTGTCTTAGACAGAAATATAGTTTATTTACTACAGTGGTCATTGTAAACGCTACGCCAAAAATATAACCTGGAAATGCTATGTTATTTCAGGATTGGGAAGAAGAAATTGACAAATCAAATAGATTTCATGGTCTTATTAATTCTTTGAGTAGTTCTGTGGTGAAGAAGTCAACTTTTATGTAGCAGTGGAATGATCTTCGGTAAATTTTTCAACTGTAGAACTTTTGTTACACACATACATATATACATTTTATATATATATATATAGAGAGAGAGAGAGAGAGAAAGTAAATCTTGTCTTATTTGACTCATAACCTACACTCTGAGCTAAATTTTTCTTTAGTAGTTTCAAATATCTAATAAAGTATGTAATAAGAATATCTAATATCTAATAAGATAATATTTAATAAGAATGGAAGATATCTAATAAAGAATATCTAATATCTACCAAGATAATATCTAATAAGATATCTAATAAGAATAGAAGATATAAGCTATTGATTTTTTATGTTTTTATTGTGAAAAATACTGTACAGTTACAAGAGCAAAAGTAATGAGTACATTTCTTATGAAGCATTGTTGCCTCCTCCTTTGTTTTTCCCCTACCATCCCTTCCCTCCCACCTCCTCAACTATACTCCCCACTCCCCCTTTCCCCTTATCCCCCACACCTAAATTATAATGTTCCTTTTTCAATTTTATGTACATTCTATAAAAGTTTGAAGACTGGAAACTATTACATTAAATCTGTCCCTCAAGATGTTTAATTTGACCAACAAATTATTGGACATTTGAAAATGATATTGTCTTCTTACAAATCTGGATTCTTCAGTAACTTGAGGAGTAGAACAGTTCTTGGGATGCTAAATTTGATTCCAATAATTGCCTGTTTTATACCAGGGCAAGTTTAATGACAATAACGTTTTTCATTATAGCACAGACCACGAACAAATTTCATTATGTCTTCATTAGACTATAATATCATTTAAGTTCTCTCTCCTTCCTTTCCCTACCTTCCCACCCTTCTTCTCTGCTTTGTTCCTTCCCTTCCTTTCTTCTTCACCTTTTCTTCCTACCCTCCTTCCTTTCCCTTTCTCCCTCTTCATTCCCTCCCTAACTTTCTTCTGTCCTTTTACTTCTCTTTTCCTGTACACCTTCAATTTCTTTTTTCCTTCATGAGGCTATATTCTCCTTTTGTTTTATCTCTAGAATACTTTCCTGCTTGGTTTGTGGATGATTGGTAGGTTAATAGATAACTAAAGGTTGTTCTTGGCTTGTTCTCTTTTCATACTTCATTTCTAGGAATCCATTGGAAAGTTTTATTTATTTTGCTTCAATAGTAATCCTAACTTTTATTCCCTTGGCAAATTGTTTCTTTTTCTTCATAAATACTTCTATAGAAATATATAAATAATCCTATAACTAAACATATCTTTCATAGTTTCTTAGGGAGTAAGACCAAATTTATGGATACTTTTAAATAAAAATTTGTTTTAATTAATATCACCATGGTATTCATTCACACCAGTCATTTTATGCCTTTTTGAATTTTTCCTACCTAAATACCTCTAATTTTTCAAGGGTATAATCAATATTATTTCTAGAGATGATTCAAAAAATGGGTAGGTAAATGAATGAACAGGATAATTTGAGTGTAGAGGAGGAAAGAATGTTTACATGAAAACTTTTCTAATTTCAGAAAAATTACATTAACCTTAATAAAGTTAAATCATATATATTGATTTTACATTCTTTTATATTTTTGGCTTCTGGGAATTTCTTAGTGTCATCAAAATTTCAATAATAATGGAACCAATTTCATAGCTGCATAAATTTCATAATTTTTTGGCCCAAGGATCATCACAAATAACCAAATTACAAATAACTAAATTACAATAACTTACAAACAAGAATGTGGCCAGGAGAAGGACATGTACTAGAGTGTATCCTGGAGAAGGAAATGTAATATGTCATTATGAATATAAAAACTTGCATAAAGAACCAATTGTCTTAATAATTTCCATGCGTATGTTTTTAATGTTTAAATTTTTACATGTTACTAATATATGTTATTGTCTTGGTCAATATTCTTACCAACCTATACTGCCTTTCTCTCTCTCTCTCTCTCTCTCTCTCTCTCTGTATATATATATATATATATATATATTAACCTATATTCCCTTTCTGTATATATATATATATGTACATATATATATATGTATTAATGTCCACTCACTTTATTAATGGCTCACTAACTTTAAAGAAAAAAAAACAATCATGGCTTGTCATAGTTTCAAATATTTCTAATCACAGCTATTCAAGAAATCTTCAATGTCAGTCTCTACAAAACAAAACAAAAGAATGGTCACTCATATTATCCTAGCTTCTTTTTATTTTTTTTTTTGTAGGTTGTCCTGCTTGAACTTTGGGCCTGGGCTCTATCCCTCAGCTCTTCAGCTCAAGGCTAGTGCTCTAACACTTGAGCCACAGCACCACTTTTGGTTTTCTGAGTAGTTTATTGGAGATAAAAATCTCTCGGGCTTTCATGCCAGAGCTGGCTATGAACCATTATCCTCAGTAGCCTCCTTAGTAGCTAGGATCACAGGCATGAGCCACCAATGCCTGGCTAATCCTAGCTTCTTGGGAGGAAGACTTAAGGGAATTATAGTCCAATATATACCATTCCTGAGGAAATGGAAAGATTTGGAAAAATATTAAATCTAGTAAGCCAGAAAGTGAAATAGGTTGCATGATTTCCCATATTTATAGTAATTAGAATGTTCCTATAAATCTGTAGGTAAACATACTAAATGGCAAAAAGAATGCACTTGGACATGACAAATTATACAGGTCTCTAGACATTCATACAATGAGACCAAAGGGCAATATTATTAGGAAAGGAAAACTAAGCCACAATAGCTTTGGATAAAATCTCTTGTGTTTCTATCTTGGTGTTCATGTCACTTAGCATCAGGTTATATGTACATACCTTTTGATCTCTTCTGCTTGTCATAGACATATAGTTGTTATTGCAGATAAGAGAAACCATGGGATCTATGTTTCTTTGAGTCAGGCTTTCATCAATTAGTA